TCAGGTGTTCCAATATGAGCTAAAAATACAGCTATTACAGCAATGTTTCCAAGGTCTTTTCCTTGCTGTTCAGAAACAGGCCACCCTATAAAAGCCTCGGCAACCTTTCAGGCTGAGTGTTCCCAGTGAACCCCTGGAAGTTGTGGCATTTGGTGTCCCGCGGATGCCCTGCACCGGCCTTGGGCACTTACCCCTTGGCTTGGCTCTCAGCTGTCACTTACTTACACACTCGGCTTTCTCCTGCCCAGGTACCTGCGCCAAGACACTGGCCGGGCACAGCTGTCCCCACCTCAGGAGCTAGCGTAGTGCCGTGAAACATAGATGCAGACGTGGATGTGTTAAAAAATATCTTGGAAAACAACATCAAAACAGATTTGAAGATGTTAAATGATCGCTATTATGAACAACTGGCTTCTAAATGCCGTAGTTCATCAACACCCAGATACAAACTGCAAGCTGTGAATGGGAAAATGAGTAAATTAAGACTGGAGAGTGCTGCAGGCTTCCTGGGGTCTGGTCTTAATCTCAAAATAAGAAAAGCGTTTTGGAAGCAGCTTTTTTCTTTTTTTTTTTCCTCCCCACCCTCCCCCCTCTTTTTTCCCCTTAAGAGCTGCCTTGTAAGAAGACTGCAGAAAAGCAAATGAGTTCCGACCAGCCTGGCCACTGGGTTTTTGGCACACTGCATGCTCGGTGGAGGAGGCCCCGCAGTGGGTTACGGGGTATGAGGGGTAGCGCAGGAATGGGAGCTCTGGCACCGACCACTGAGCTCCTTGAAACTTGTTACAAAATGAGGATAAGGGAATTATGTCGCAGGCTTCCTTTTTAATCTAGCCCTTCCCTGAGGATCATTAGTTAAGTGTTTATTGCATGGAAAAATCTAAAAAAGCCGAACAGCGCGTTCCCAGCTAACGGAGCTATTGCCGTGGGAACGCGCACTGCAGCACTACAGCAACAACATGGCGGGGAGAGCCGCTGGCCACACGCTGGACTGCCTTCCCCTTGGTGTTTGTAACGCAGCCTGCGTCAGTACGAAAATTTCCATTAGTAGCTTTAGAAAGGTACTGAGTTTGAGGGCTTGTCTAGTCAGTGTGGGAGAACAGATGGCGTACCTGGGAGCACTCAGTGGCCTAAAGAAAGGAGACCATCTGCGCTTTGAGACTGCGCTTGCCTGGATCAACATACATTCACACACATGAAAGTGAACCCACACGTGGAATTCACCTCAGGGTGAAGTGTCACCTGCCTCCAGCACTTGCCATATAATCGTATTTAGTAGTAAAAAGAAATAAATCATAATTATGTGGAAAGCACATACATAACCTGGTACCCGACCTGCAAACCGGGTTGCACGCGATTGGGTCTGTAAGGTTACAAGAGACCTTCCAGGAAAGGCAAAAGGTGCAAGTTATTTTGAAGGACTCACTCAAGTAAAAATCCTAAATAGTCCCATTGAAGTAATTTTAATCGCTCATAACAGTAGTGCTAGCTAAACATCATTTCAGCCAATTTGAATAAAAATATGCCAAAAAGAAAATACTTGGTATTTTGGGGGCAGTGGGGGTTAGTGTTAAAGCTTCACTACTGTCTGTTTCAGTTGGGAGTGCAAACTCTCCCCCAAGCCCCTTCCTGGAGTCAGTGGGAGTTTTGCCTAAGTTAAGGACTTAAATGTGACATTCTACTGCACTAACTTGATTTTATTGTCCTTGCCTTTTCATTATAATCCATTAATGAAGGCACTCACTCAGCAAGTTTGAAACATAGTTCTGCACACAGCCTCGACTGATGATGCCATTGTGCTTTAGATCTAATAAACTCAGCACGCGGGAAAGCAACCAAGCACAAAATCCGCTCTTAACAAGCACTAAAGCTCACTTGCTTTTTTTAGCTTACCAATTTTTACCTTTAAGTTCTTCTCTTGGTCCTAAGGCAGAGCCCTTGTCATCTTGCCTATCTCTGCAACTCCCTACCACATTCTCGGCGCTACGTACGTAGTAAGTATTATTTAATGCTGCCACATGTCTCAGGAGTCTGTCTTGTCATTTTGCTTGGCAGATGGGTGCATCATGTCCTGTATAATGACATCAGACTGCATTACAGCATGATTCAAAGCTGCCGTAGTCATTTACTGCATTTTCCTGCTGGAAGCGGAGTCCCAGGAAGGATTTCTGAGCTGGGGAGCTGTGCTGTCCCAAAACGCCTACGGGGTGTGTAACAACAGATGTGCTGGTGTGCGCTGCTTTGCCATGTGGCTGCGTGTGTGGTCACATTCAGAAAAGTGATTTTCCGTGTGAAAAGACAAAGGCAGCTCCACAGAGGAATTTAGGTGCATAAATGTCTATTAAGGGACCTAATTCCCATTCAACATAATTATCTAAAAGCTACGTAGGTGTCTAGGATTTTCTGAACATGATGTTGAATAAATCCTTACTTCTTTTTTTAAAGGGCAGTGAGGACTTAAGAATGGAACTTTTGGCCTCTGAAATGCCATGAATGTGAGGCAAGTTGTAGATGGGCTCTGCCAGAACCTGTGTGATTTGATGGCACATGATGAAATTACATCCATGTGATAGAAAACTGAAAGCTGAAAAAATTGAGCAAATAACGATCCAAATCCACATCTCATGCATTCAGCAAGCGTTTTCAGCTTGTGGTATCAAGAGGATTTTAATTTACTGAAAAGTCTTAATTATTTAAATTTATGTTCTGAATATCATCAAATCATTTATTCAAATTGTAAATTTTACGATTACCATCAGCTATGGCTTACTGTGGTACCTGGTGGTGTGTTGCCACTCCGGTGGTACAGAAGCCCTCCCAGTAGGAACGCTTGCTTGGATAAGGTAAAATTCATGTGATGTGGGAACCTGCTCAGTCAGCTTGGAATTTAAGCTTCATTACTATTTATACTAATAAGCTTAATAGTTCCTGTTCATGGAGGAGAACAGGGGAGATGATGCAAACAACCAGAGCATAGGGAACTTACAGGCAAATGTAGAAGTGTCACTTTCCAAGTGACTGCTAAAGAAACCCCTTAGCAGAGCCGAGCCCAGGGCTGCAGCTCTGCACTGACCCAGCACGCTGGCTTCTGTGCCACAGCCCGGCCGGACTTGACTTCTCAACAGCTGCCATATGGTTAAAAAAAAAAAAAAAAAAGGAAAAAAAAGTCCAAACAGCTAAAAAGCTGATGCTTCATAACAACATTAGGGGATAGTTCCTGCTGTACCTATTTACTGACTAATTTGTAGTTTAATTTTTATGTGTGGGGTACTTTATCTCTCCTTTCCTATGTGCGCAGGTGGTCTTCACAATACCACCCCCTCCCACTGCCCGAAGCCAAAGCGACTGCTAGGCATTTCATACCCTCAGCAGATTTCTCTTCCGCACCTTTGTCCGGTTCGCCTTGAGCCCGGCGTAAGCCCCTCGCACACCAAACCGCCTGGGCAGGAACACCCGATGCTGGTGTGTTTCGGCGATGTCGGGGACACATCGGCTAACAGGAATGCTGACAGCACATGTTGTAGCTGAGGCCTTCCGCTTACTGTACACGGGACTGCAGCAGAGCTCCACAAAGTGTATTTACACCTCTGTGGGAGGAATACTAGGTCCATATAGCAGACATGGCATTATACATAATGGCAGTATTGTCTTTGAAGTTTAGTTTAATTTGAAGTATAATTACCTTGGCCAGTGTGCACGTGATGGGAAGAGAAGAAAGGTTTAAGACTTTCTAGAGACTCTTGGAAGCAGAAAAGTAAAATGTTCCCGGCCATGCCCTTGCGCTATAGCTACACTCCTGTCTGACTCGGGTTTGTCAGGGTGTTGCTAATCCCACTGGAAAAGCTGGGAGTGAGCCTGGCCCTCCCGCAGCAGGTTCCGGCTCTCCCTGCGGTCCTTTGCCATCGGTGTCATTCAGGTCAACGGAAACTGGATGCCCTGAAAACATCTGGTGGGAGGTTTTCTTATGTTTTTCCATCTTGCTGTCAGTTATAAACACAACGGACACCTGCACTGCTGAACCAACAGCAGTTTGGCAAAGTTCTGTGCTGTCAGTATTCTCTGTTGGGAACAGCCCTGGGACTTTTACCTGACGGGTTTTCAAACTGCGCGCTTCAGTGGGAAAGCTTTTCCCAGGCTCACTCAGTGTTATTCGCTGCTCCCCCTGTGATGCACTGCATCTCAGACGAAATCTGCGCCCATTCATTTTAAAGAGACTGTTACTCAAAGAAAGGATTGTATAAAGGTTAAAGCCTCAGTGACAGTGAATATAGCAAGCAGGGGCTAGCGCAGCCTGGACCAGAGTAAAAAGACAGAACAATGTAAGACTGGGGGAATGGGGAATGTAGTAAAGGGCCTATAATTTGAAATTAAAAAGTTAAATAATATAATTAGCAGCAATAAAAAAAGTTTTACTGCCACCCATCACAAGCTTCTTCCATTTACGGACCATACCTGTCTAAACTCACTGTTCATCCATTTGGTGTGTTCACATGGAATCAACTAAACATGTCAAACAAAAGGAAGTTAACCAATTTTCATGTAGGTTATTTATATCTAGGTCCCAGAGTTGACAGTATAATTTATTAAGTATCTCACCCTGTATAGTGACATTTTTACTAATTAATATGGAGCCAGCTATACACACTGCATATGTACAGGTATTTTCATAAGGCATATAATATCTTTGCATTGAAAATAAATGAACATTATTAAATCTAATTTAATATATACTTTCTTTGAGGTGTTTATGAAAATATTTTTTCTCTATATTTTTGTATGTGACATGATAGAAATATTTCATGGGAAGTACAGGTTAATATATTTTATCTTTATAAAGGCATATACAACTTTGAGGCAGTGTTTCTGATGGACAGCAGAATTCCTAAAGAATTTGTATGTGCTTCTGTGTTTTGAAATCATATGAAATTGACTTTAAGAAGTAACTTGATTAAAAAAACGCACCAATGCACAGCCAGAGGCTGACAATTAAAACTAATACATAGCCACATGAACAATATATTTATATAGTTAATATATTTTTTTTCAAGATGATTGGTACTAACATATAGTATTATACATTTGGCACTACTGTTTGCCATTGGTCCAGCAATTGGCAAAAATTTGTTTCCTATGTATAAATCTGTTTGAACATTAGATCTGGCTAGATGTATTTACTATTTATAAAAAAATATTTAGACAGTAAGCTCACGTTGAATAACTAGGTCTACTGTATTCTGGAAACTCTTCAGTAGTAATACAGCTTTCTCATGTTCCATATGTACAAAACTGTGTCCATTTGCCTGTAACACAAAAACAAGAAGAAGAGAAACCAAATGAGATTCTCTTTAGTGTCTTCATTTTGGGGGAGCAAAGGTATATATGAAAATTAAAACCAAGGCTAAAGTAAATAGTAGTCGTATAATGATTTCCCGCAAACAGGAATTTGACTGTACCACTGAGAGAACACATTTCTCTTCCTCCGTTGGACAGATACTGCACTCCCCCGCTTCAAGCAGGGGCTGGACTAGATGACCTCCAGGTCTGCTTTCCAACTTCAGTTATTCTGTGACTCTATGATATTCTGCGTATTTTCTGACAAAACAGTAACTCTGGGATGTAAGAGTTTCACCTGCTGTGAAGCTCAAAGGAAGTTAATGCTGCCAGAATGCATGGCTGACTACAAAGGAGGCTCTGACTCTGATCAGATGCAGACATACTGCAGATACAAAGAGGGAAAAAAATTACTGAATACACTGTTCTGCTTTCATGCTAATTAAATCTTTCTATAACTTGTCTGTTACAACGCTATTAAAAATGGTCACATTTTAAACATAATTTCTAAGAGTTTCCCGAGTGTGATCAATAAGCCAAAGCAGAAGATCCACCATTCCACAGAATGAAGCCAGCCCGTGAGGGTGCCCAGGGACTGAACAAAGGTAACGCTCGCTCAGAGCCCTGCCCTCTAGCCATCCACGAAACCCTCAGGACTACTCCCTAGGTGCCAGCTCAGTCCTCGGACTCCCGCGGTCCTGCTCCAGGGCTTGCACACAGCCAGGTAGACGCTCGGCTGGTTCAAAGCTCCCCCTTCCCTCCCCAAAGCCACAGGCAGAAACCTCCACTGTCCTTTACCCGTGGAGCCCATTCCTGACCACGTCTGGGAAGGCGCGGGTGTACAGCTGGGACCGGTGCTAGGCAGTTGTCACAGAGGCTGCCGGGGCTGGGAAGGTAATCGAGGGACCGGCTGTAGGGCTGTCCGTGGCAAAATCCGGTCTCTCTAGCTTACAGCAATTCTATAAACACACTGCACTTTTTAACAAAATACATATACGTGTGTGTATATACATATTTTAACTAACATTTAAAAATAGGTTAGTGAAGCCTTCATGCTTTGGTTAATGAAGTACCGCTGCTGTGAAATCACAGCCCCAGAGAAGAACTACCAGACATCTCTTGCACATATCTAGACTGTTATACACGGGTATCTTCTCGGCCACAACAAAACCATACTACGCCACATTAAATATGGAAGACAGTCTTCAAGAGCTGCTCCTTACCAGCAGTCAGCATGGCCGAGGTATTGGACAAGCAGCCCAAAGGGGCTGCCGGAGCCCCCCAGGGTGCTCGGGTTGCCCCAGCTCACCCCTGGGCCTGCTGCTGGTCGTGTCCTCGCAGAAGATCCGCCCCCCGGACCAGAGGCTTGCAGAAAGGATGCCCCGTGCTCTCTCGCTGTATTAAAGGACGCCCAGCCCAGAATGAGAACTCAGAGAAGTGCTGCGCACACCTCTCTACTGAAACAGGGAGCCCATGAGCACACTGGTGCTTTCTTGGGACTTAAAGGCTTCTGTTCAAAGCTATCAGCTGCTGCGAGCTTTAGTGCTGACAACTGCACAGGAATGCCAACAGGCTCATGCAGAAAAAGCTGCATGCAAGCAATAGTGAAAAGTAGCTCACTTGTATTCATGTAGTACTGTTTAGCTTAATACAGTAAAATACATTTGCACTGAGAAACAGGAATGCAAATTTCAGCCAGGAAAAGTTTCAAAAAGTCATTCACTTATGTGCCAAAATTAGGCAGCCATTTGGCATTCAGTCTGAGGTCAGCTTGAACTCGGATGCAATTCAGAGGGAAACTGAAGAAGTTTCAGATTATTCACCACACAGCTCACTGGGATCTGTACTGCTCATTCGGAAAAAAAAAAAAAAGAACCTGCAAACAAACCTGACAGCAGGCCAGCTCTGCCCACTCCCCTTCTCATTTTCAAGCTGCGCAGTGAAGGGTACAGGAAAATGTTGTGCAAGTTCAGCTCTAGCTAGCAGAGAAACCTCTTTTCTACAAGAAAAGTTTCTCAGTGGAAGAGGGCTGTAGGAGATACACATCCAAAAATACCTAAGCAGGCCACACCCAGAGGGATTTGTTATTTAACATATAAATAAATGATAATCAGAATCTACTTCTTTCATTCCTGCTGTGGTCTCACATTCCCCGCATAATATGCTATGAAATTCACCTATATATTTACACATTGAGTTACTATTTAGTTCTATTATACAGAAAGAATGGGTTTTAGCTGAATCGTGGAGCCACCAAAACAAGGTTTCTTAGAACTGAAGGGCAGCCTTAAACATACAGTGGCAAAATAGTACGACATGGCTGACAGAGCTGCTCTCTCCTTGCTGACAGACTTAGCAGCGCCGTACAACCGTGCTCCTCCTTAGAAGTCATCTACTAAAACTGCTGCTAATTTTATAACAGAAAAATCATTCTTATCAAATAAATAACTGAAGAGCTTATGACACAGAAAGGAAAGATACAACAATTTTGCTCCCTGCAGGATCGCAGCGGGGCCGTGGGCTTCTGGACTTGTAAGGACCAGAATTTGTTCACTGCAGAAGACGCACACACACACACACACACACACTCTCTCTCTCTCCTCTCTCTCTTTTCTGTCAAAAACAGGCATCGGGCAAAACCGTGCTTAAGAATGACAGTTTCTCCGGGAGCTGGGTAAGTCCACCCAGGGAATGTTGAGCCTTTTAATTTTTAAATCTTCCCTCCTACTTTTACGAAAACTGCTTGGGGAGATACATAAATGCACGACAGAAACATTACTGCTTCTCCTGAAAACATCCTGCTACACAAATTCTTCCATGTAAATGTTTAAAAAATTTCCCCTTGGAGCCTTGGTCCGATAACATCTTCCTGTGCACCATTTTGAGTAAACTGGATTCCCCGCATGGGAGCACAAAAGGTGCACAGCCATGGAGGTGCTCCAGTCACAGTGACACAGCCAGTAACGCTGGGGGGAAAAGCGTCAGACAGACGTGACAGGACGGAGAGTCTGCAGCACGAAGATTTAGATGATACTAAAAGCAGATCACGGGGCAGACAGCGTGAGGACAGAGTGGGCTAAGACTGAGGAGGCACAGGAAGATGCTTCCTCCCTCGGAGTCCCCGCAGAAGCTGGTGTCACAACCAGCGCACGTGTGGAAGACGCCAAGCGGCGCAGATAGCTACAGATGCCAAAGAGGAGAGATGACGGGTGAAGAGGAACCTCCTCCTACACAGTAACTGGTATTACAAAGCCCTTGTCTCTGGCAGGGGATCGTCTCACAACATAAATGCAAACGGGTGATGGTAACAGTGGAAAATGGGGGTGGAGGTGAAGTGATGCCAGTGAGAATTAATAATTTCAAGTTCTTACTGCCTAGGGAGCTGGATACTTTTAGCTAAAGGCACTGCTTATATTTGAGAAGTAAAATATACTTCATCACAGTTATGTTTTTTCTCTGTTAATTCCTTCATGAGATTAATGACCGCTCATTTACTTGCCACAATATAAATCAACACCTGGTAATAGGTATTATGCACAGGTAGAAGTAATTGCAAATAAAAGGAAAATGTTCTTGCCAGAGAATTTGAAATGATGTACTGACAGTGACAAATGAGAAACTCCGCAGAGACTGATCCACAACCCTACGAGAATGACTGAGAGTGCAAAGTCAAACAAACTTCATCAATGTAAGTGATGAATAAATCAGGAGAGTGAAATTTGCTACCCCCCCAAAAAAATGCAGCAGTACCTTAAATGTGATTATATAAATATACATAAATGCTCCTATACATGAGAAATCCCAGCTCCTGACGGCCTGTGCCCATCAGGAGAAATCATTTGAAATAACAATAGCTATAAAATAAATGCAGGTCAAAAGTGTACGTCTTTGATGAAGACATGCTAGGTACACACACGCAGCAGACCTGTCCCTGCCCAGACCAATACAGCCCTCGCACGACTCCATTAACACTACTCCCACAGCATATGCCCACTGCTTGCCCCCGCAGGCAACCTTCTCACCTTATTTTGCTGTTACTTTTTAAAATATTTTATTCTTAACTGTTTTTGTTTCTGTTACTAAGCTCAGCTTTCAATATAGCACCTTGATTATTCTAAGGATCTCTAGCTAATTTTGTACTTCATTTAGCTTCGCTATTTTCTTTATTTCACTGTTTTCTGAACACACTAGCAATTAAACTGGAGTTGCCTATCGTGGACTTCAGAGCTGGTAACTACTGCAGTGCCCGTGCCAGGTAGGAGGGGCAGGGGGGAACGGAGGAGCGAGGGAGGCTACCGAAGACATCTGAAACATCCTTGGTTTGCTGACTTCCTTCATATAACCGATTAAAACACAGTTAACCTCTTACCCTTGATCAGTGTGAATGGTTTTAAAAACTCTTATAAGCCTTTCAGACGATGCGAATGACTCTCTCAAAAGTAATACTATTTGCTGCCAGTGGTAACACGTTTTCCAGGCTTAACAAAAAAAAGAGAAACAACCTTGCAGGATATGGTAGAAAACCTTTCTCTACAGGGACAGCCATTGTTTTCTGTGAATGAGGAATTTTTGAAAGGTATGTTCAGGAACAGCCTGTCTTTCTATGTAAAAAGTTTACTGGAATGCAGAAAACATTTGTTGCATTAACAAAAAAGAAAACAAAAAGCGGAGATTTCTCTGTAAATTATGCAGATGCTTCCATGATCCAGTAGCGGATCCAGTAGTGGCTGGTTTTCATGCGAGTGCATTCAAAAATGATGAGGCAGCAAAAGAGAGGGATAAATATTGCCAGTTACCATTCTGTCAAACAATGTGACTAGATAGATAGCTCCTTACACCAGTGTCACATCAGCTGCAAAGGCAACAGTTATAAACATGTCTTGCTTTGTCATATACTTATGCTTGTGAAACTGCCTGTAAAGCGCCTTTCTCCCTGCACCTTCTTGTGCTGTTAGTGTGGAAAAGCTGGATATGATGTAAGGATTATTTTTATTTTCAGTTTGAATTGTGTCACCCGGATCATTCCTGTGACAAGTGGTACGCGTTAACCCTTTCCTGCAGTGCCATTCCCTCCCAAAAGGCTGGTGCTGGCATTCGTGTGCCTTAACAGCATCCCTGGGGAGGGAGCAGAAACTGCCAGGCCAAACGAAAGACAGCCCGGCTCCTTGCTGTGCTATGGTCCCTCTGCTCTCAGTGTGCCCCCTGGGTTTAATTCAGCTCCCCGCTTGCGGCAGAGGGGCTGTTGGACAGCACACCCCAGTGCCTCTTTTTCACATCCTCAGTTTGTTTTCAAATGGCTTTTTATTCCTTCCTTCTGAGACCAGCTTTCAAAAGTACTTTGTTATAGAACGATATTAAACTACCATAACAACAAAACTAGCAGTTAACTTGTCCTGAACACAGTATCATTGTACTTCTAAGATGCAAAGACTCAGTTCAGTTACAAAGCAGTTAAATCCATCCATACCTGGAGGATCTTATCGCCAGGCTGGAGCAGGCTGGATGCTGGTCCGTCAGGCTGAACCCTAGTAACAAAGATACCCTATAAGTCAGAAGTAACAGAGGTTAGGATGCTATCACCAAGAACTAGTTCCCAAAATACAGGTGTCTCCCTAACTGGTGGCTGGGGGCTTTATATACTCCGACAACAGTCTAAACACTAAAGTCTTTTTTTCATCTGTTTGTAATCAAACACTAGTATGGGTTTGTAGCAGCTCCCTGTGCCCTTCAGCTGGCTACTGCCTGATAGAAACATAATTGTGGGTCATTTGAAACTAAGATTCCACATCACAAAATAATGTCCAATATGAATAGGGCAAGAGTAACAGGGTTATCAGGAGGATAATTAAAATGGAGCAAGCATTAATTTATTAGAATAATGCGTACCATAATCTATACAGTAATCTTTGTTTACTTCCTCTAGGAAGAAAAACAGCTTAAAAAAATTTCTGAAAAGCAGCCTTGATATTCAGCCCTTGAGATATTCAGTACAAAGGTCTGTAGGACTGTCACTTAATACAGTGTCTGTGGAGTGAATGACTTTGAAAGGGGAAAAAATATTAAGTAATAAAGGATATTTTTAGATTTGTATTCAGAATTTCAGTAAAATATATTAATAAAACCCCAAATCAAAGACTGACTTCCTAGATGATGAACACATTTGAAATATTTCCAATACTGCTCATGCAGCCCTGTACTTCTGTACCCTCGGTCTCACTTTCTCTGCTGTGCTTACCCTGCTGACAAGGGTAAATACCTTTAAGCAGACTTTAGAACTGAGCATAGGTAAATTTTAGCCATGCACATCACTCCCAGAGACACCAGAGAAATTTCCTGCTTGGTATCATCATGCAAATCATGTGCGCCCTTGAGGGATTTTATAGCCTTCTGGAGCAAGGTACTGTCCAGTATTTCTGTCAACCTTATAAAAACTTGAGCTCCTTGGGAGCAGAGCGATGGGCAGCTTGTATTTCATCCATGTGCCATTAACTTGTGACACAAGTCTGCCATTCGAAATGACTGATCGCTCCTGTGCATTTTACTGCTTTTCCTGTCCTTTCATCACAGTACCAGCAGCGTGTCAGGGCAGAGGTATATCACTATGCAGAAGAGTGCTCACTGCCATCCCCACTAATTTCATCTTATAGACGGAATAGTACCATATGCGTCACTTAAAACCATCACAAACATCTGGTATGTATGACGAGAGACAGCATCACCCTTGTAATCGCTTCTATGATATTTAAAACATGATAAATCTGATGTAACAGTGCGGGAAGCATTGCTTCAGAGTAACACCACATAAAAAAACTTTTAACTATTAATTCCTTCAATTTAACCACCCTATTGCTCCCTTAGCACACAATTTTGCATTTCTGTTATTGGTGAAATTAAGTCTATCTACAGCTGTTATTGCACTGCATGTATTACTGGTACAGACACATTCATAGTGGGGTATCAACTCTTCTTTAGTAATTTCACGCAAGTGATAAAACAGTGGAAGTATAGTTTAATTCTAACATCACACATGAAACTGTGGGAAAAAAGACCATGATGTTATAAACTGCAATCCTAGTGTGCAATCTCAAAGGACACCAAAAATAAGTAAGTTTTAAGGGATCGTCGTTAAAATGCCCGATAGTTATGTACATTAAATGGACCTATTCTTGAAGTTCAAAACAGGAATTATCAATGAGAAGATTGAAAGGAATTAAGATTGTTAGATTGGTATTTCCAAGCATATTTTACATTTCCAATTAGCTTTCTGTTGTAATTCAGAGTGGTGGGGAAATTACTTTTTTAATTTGCATGCAGATCTCAAATTTTTGAGAAGAGATGAAAAGACAGTTTTAATTTCATCATTTGCCAAACATTGTCAATATTTATGGAAGTTATGACTGCCTCTGAAAACTGAATCCAGTATTATCAAAGAATGTAAACTATAAGAATATGTTTAACAGAGAGTTACCCATAGTACTTGTTTTTCAACAAACTCCAGTCAGTTTTACTGCACAGAACAGAAAAATTCACAGGTCTAAGAGTCCATTTCCTAATCCTAAAGCCCTGCGTTGTTGATAATAGCCAGCTGTTGTATTTTGACTAGGCTTCCTTTCACTGTAAAGAGATTTATCAACCTCTTAAACGTGTAATTCTCAGAATGAATACTGAGTCTCCCTGACCATCATGTACCATAATGGTGACATTTTTAATTCGCAGTACGGAACAGAAGACTGCTTGCCATGGTGTTTGTAAGGCACCAATGTTCTCCAGACCAGTTTGCAGGCCAGGCTGATTTTATTTGATACAGCTGCTATAAACCCTGGCTTTTCAGCTACCTAGTGATGCTGTTACTGGTTTAGTGTTCCCTCTAATGACTTTAGTTAAAGTTTAATCAGGGCCTATATTGACTCTTAAAAGAAAAAAGTGAGAGACAGTTCTCCAGAAAACAATCTTAAAAATTATCTTATATGTGGAATACAAGGCAGACACCCGTGTGATTTCTGTTTTGATTCTCTCGTCTTCATTAACCAGAAAAAAAAAAAAGCGAACAACAATCCCCTAACAAAAACAAGCCAAAGGGAAAAATTCTTTCAATTATCACAACAGAAGTGCTTAAAAATTTCACTGATGCTATCTATGTCTCCACTATATGGCACTCTAAAATAAGGACCATTTAGAGAGAAATTTGTAACTTACCTTATCAGAAGGTTTGAATGGATTTCCTTGTCCACTTATTCCACCACTGATACTAAAACCAAGGCCAGGATTCTTCTCTATCCTCACACAAAACTAGGTTAAAAAGAAAGGGCAAGATAAGTTAATGCCAACATTAAAGTGTATCTAAACAATGGCATCTTCTTCGCATATATCCCATTTCACCATTAACGAGATGACTTGACCCTCTCAAAAGCTGTACTGCACAACAGTAAAAGTCAGTAGAATAGTGTTATAAACTGAAAGTATTTTCATGATTTTAGCATGCTGCAATGACACCATAATATTCACAGTGCTGTATGTATTTTGGCATATATTTTAAAGTTTTATTTTCAGGGAGAAAAAAACCCACCTTTAGACTTGTGAAAGAGCAGTTCACATTGGCCAAATTTTTCACTTAAACATTGGGATAAATCTGTCAGTGAAGCTTCATCTTGTGTGCTTTTATTTTGCCAGAATGTGTCACACATGCAGCATCCCCGGGTGCTGTGCTTGGGACAAACCCAAGGAAGAAGTACTCTGAAGCTCAGAGATCTTCAGACCATTGTCAGCATCAGCCTGCGCTAAGCACCGACGACTTTTCCAAGTGCCTCACTCCAGGAAATAGTGCTGAATCTTATCTTTTAGTCAGGATGACTCTAAATGGCATTGGGTAATTGAATATAAAATAAAAATGACCTCAGTGTAGCTTAATGACTACTCATGTAGCCAGTCAGAGCATGTACTCCAGCCACACAAGCAATTGCTTCTGAATCTCAATGCAATACTCAGGGACTTAATACAGGCAGCTGCTTGTGTGGATTGACCAACACTTTACACAAGAGAAAGGTTTACTAATGATTCTGAACCTTATTCTGCAAGTCAGGTGCCTCAAACAGTTATTGCAGTCATTAAGGCCAAATATAATGGGGATAGGACCACTTAATGAAGAAACTCATCAGCACCCATTTCATTAGACTGGAGGCACTGGAGCTACAGCTGGCCTTTCGTAGGGCTAAACTGGAGCAGCCCATAAAAACCTGAGAAGATCAGCGTCTTGCCAAAAACACTGCACTGTTAGCACTGAACCAGGTTACTGGGGAATTTGCAAATTAATTCGGTATGACCCGGTGATGTCAGCTCTGTTCAGGAACTTCAGTGCCAAATTGTGTTGCTTGGTCAGTCCAAGAAAAAACCGCTGTCAGTCCCTGGTGCTGGGGAAGAGGACTGACCTGCTCGCCCGCCTCCAGCTCAGCCATGCCTCCCCCGTGCTGCCTGGCTCAGCTGCCCTCTGTTATTGCCCTAGGCTCCCTTTTCCAGCTGTATACAGGGCAGAAAAAACCAGAACGTGTTTGTCACAGTGTTATTCTATAGACATGCTTTCTCACCTGCTCCTGATAGGCATCCGTACTTCTCTGACCCTTGGTTTGGATTAAACACCGCCCTGTCTGAGGGGCTCGAGAGCTCTGCGAAGAGGGAATCTGAATAGGCAGTGGTGGCTGAAACTGCTGAATGGTGACTTTGTTCATGTTTCCTTCATACTGCTGCTCGCGGCTCCGATGCTGTAGGCTTTGTGATCCCATTAGAGTCTGGATATGGCTACCTGCCTGTGGGTAACGTAACCCGTTAGGCCAGAAATTCAGGAAGCTGAAAAGAAGCAATTATTACAACTTACAGAGTCAAGTAAAAGCAAACCTCTTAAATCATATCAGAGGTTTGCCTTTTGACCACAGTCGGAAAAAAACGCGATTAAAAGCAGCAAGGATATGCCCATTGCATTTAGTGACCCTAGGAGGTTTAAGGGAAATTAGCCATATACAGTATGCTTTATAAACAGAAAATATTTTTTTTCCTCATGTCATGATACATGCTTCTGCTCAGAATGTTTTGTGAACTGAAAACATTTAATAAATTGAAGTAGGGCAGATTATTCATCACAGCACACTCTGAAGATACTGGAATGTTTTTTTTCTTGAGGATAGTTTGGAATAAGATTTATAACACAAATACAGATAATGGCCAGTATTGTGCACTGTGTATGGAAAGCATAATCAATTAAATCCTATGCCTTGTCCTAGGAACAGATGTGGCTTTTACAAAATGTAACTAATTATCAAATTTCTATGATAATGTCTACTGATTTGAAGCTGTAATATTTTGTAAATATAAGTGAAATACTGTGTTTACATTGACTCGGCCTTTTGATATTTTCAGAAAAAAAATGGATGACGGCTATCATGCTTCTACCCACTCCATCCCCACTGCCTTTCACGTTTGCAGCTGTGATCTATCAGGTGAGGTTTGCTTTCTGTATGCTGCTCTTGACATGGTAAAGTTGCATGCTTGCTTACTCTTTGATATACAGTCTCTTTTTAGGCACATGAATTTCATAAATATTTGATGCAAATCTTCACAATATAGATTGAGTTGAGACAATTTTATACTTTTCATGTTTACAGGATTCAGATGTTGATGCTTACAAAATAATCACATGCAACTTAGCCATAAGGGAATGAGCAAAATTTATGCTCCGTTGTATGGTCAAATACTATTATCTCCATGAAATATTACACCGTTGCTACTGAGAATTTTCAGATTATATGCACCCATCAACCAGCACTATTATTTGAACAGCCTGAATGCGAAAGAGCATTAAGATTGCATGTCTCAATGTCTGCAAGTCTCTATGGACAAAACAGACCTACTTAAATGATGTTTCACATTAAGTTTACACCAGCCAAAGACACAATCATGTCTCATCATGAAGATCTAATCCCCAGTACTATTGAACCTTTATGACCCTGGGTGGAAGAGTCACCAATTGTGAGACTGTATTTTAGACAAGATTAAATTTAATACGCGAAAGATCAAAACATTTCTTACCCATTGGCCAATCATCCAGCCTCAGAAGTTATAGCAGCCAGGGCATTGGAATTAATTGCTGGTTGCCATAGCAAAAATATATCTTATTGGATTTCCAAGATTTGTCTGCAGAACACATCATTAATACAGATGCAGTTGGAGCTACTCGTGTCACTGACACAGAATCCCAGCAAGACATGCAGTGACTCCAAGCAAAACTGATCTGCTCTGTCCTACTTTTTTGCTGACAACATTTGAAGAAAGGGACTAGGTAGAATACATGTCTAACAGTTCTTCTATTTAGTACAGGAGGGATAGTCTCAACGTGAGTAATGACAGAGAAATCTCTTACTCCTTGTGCCCAAATCGTCAGTCCCCAAACTCTTCTTAAAACACAGCTCACCTGTGTACATGAAAGTGCTTAATAGACATTGACAAACTTACTCCAAGAATAGCCTGGTGAAGTCAGTCTGTACTGCGAACATCCCACTTTACAGGTCAGAGAGATCTTCAATTCAACCAAAATCAGAAGGGAAGGAAAATGCTCAAGACAGATTTCTTAGCTATTCATTAACTCCCTAGCGGCAACAAACCATGCCCGCAGCGGATTGCTGAATCCCTGTCACCCTGCACCGTGGAGATGCAAGGTGGGCAGGTGACCGGGTGCAGCACGATTTTGTACTTCATGTTGCGTCATACTCAACACAAGACGATCCCAAAAAAGCAGAATCTCATAAATTCTGCTGTTTGCCCCAGATATAATCCCATATCCACCACAGCAGTCCACAGCGGGTGTATCGTCTGCCTCAGAGGAAGATGTCTATTTCAAATACAGAAAAAATTGTGCTTCTTCACTGAAAAACCTCAAATCCTATTTATCAGGTTAAAAGACCTCTGTATTGAACAGCAGATGCTGGAAATGAAACAGAAAGAGCCTCCAGCCTCTCATTTGTGGCTAACAGAAATACTCCTAAGTCAGAAAGGGAGAGAAACGGTGACTCAGACACTTTTGTCTGTCCCAGTTTTGAGGCAGCTGCCTCGCTCCAGTTCCATAGCATATGCTCCTGCACATCCACCCAGACCATTATAGCCCACGCAGGGATCTCCAAGAGTTTGCATGGCTTCAGCCTTCCTGTGGGCTGCTACAATCCTGCAGCAGAAGAGGCCAACTAACAGTCCTACACATCCCCAAACCTGTGTAGCTCATCCTCTTAGAGGGTTGTCACCCTGCGCCCAGGTTGGCCAGCTTGATGTCTGTTCATTTTCCATCTTCACTCTCACTCTTCAACCTCTCTTTTCCATAAGGAGTGATTTCCAAGTTCCCTTTTGGCGATCCCCCGCCACACTTCTACCCCTTCCCTTTTTACAGAGGAGCAGCGAACTCAGAATACAACTTTTTTGATCAGGCACGTAGCTGACTTCTGTCTTGTTGACATGATAGAAGTAGTAATCTTCCAGGAAGAATAAATACTGCAGTCTTTTAACAAATCAGTGGATTATTCAGTTTGAAGATTAAAATATCCAACTTTTCCATAAGAGAAATAGCCCATAAATTATGGGATGATCACATAAATGATCATACTTAAAATAAAACTGGCATTTAATCTATATTCTGAACAGCAAAAAGGACACAACCACTCACCACCACCACCACCCCCAGTTATGTCGGGATTACTGTGTAGTATTCCCACCCTACCTAACATATGTAAATAGCCATCACTATATGTATAGTAGCCTTCTATGTGTGGATAATTCAGGAACACGCATTACCACGTCTATATACGTACTACACCAGCCTGAGTACATAGTCCATCTGTCTATAGTACATGCTCTTCCCCTTGGAAGAACAAGTCCTGACTCTTCTTCCAGTGATTTCCCAGGTACAGCTCTACCATGTAAAGGCTCTGCTCTGCAGGAGCCCATTCACACTAGTACTGTTACGTTAGTGGAAAACCAAAACATACACTACAATTTATATTTACATAGTTTAATTGTTTGTTATGTTGAACTTCAATTCTATAGCAGATTTTCTGAGTCAGACTTCAAATAATTGCTGTATTTTAATCCCCAGATGCTGGGAAACCAAGGCACTCGAGGTCACTTTCAACGGAGAAGAGATTAGCATTGTTGTAACAGTACATTGCAAACCACCTCCTGAGGATGGTGGGTAAACAATTTTCAGAATTCTTTTTCTCAGTCCTGTTAATAGACTTTGAGGAGATCATATCACTACTTGTTGTGTATTCATGCTGTGGCTCTTGCTGGAGGTGGATAAGCTGCCTTTCTTGGAAATGTGAATTATTTATTCAGCAGAAAAAAAATCTCTATTATGCAGACTGCTTCCCCAATTTCATTTGTATTCTTTACTTTATTTAACATCCACCACAAAAGTTAATTATTTTCAGCTCAGTGTCCAATATTTACAGTATAATTAAAGTAGCTGACAACGGATGTAACAATGGATTGCTCCACTGAGTTGAGCAGATTTCAGTACGGTTATGCAACGTTTGTACTTACCACATCTGAGCAGCGAGATACTGAAATATTCAGAACAAAACAGAATCTGTAGTTTCTTATTACAGCAACACTGATGCACAAATGCAAGACATAGACTGTGTTAGATTGTGTGAATGGATAAACACAGGTTCTATCCCAATATGCCAGTGAAGATAAGCAGTGACTCCTCTTAAATGTCTTATCCTAGTTTCTTGCATATCAGAGAATAAAGAAAGCCTTCGAATAAGTTGGCTGTCAGAGCCAACTCCATGAAACAATGTCAGGGCACCCTCCTCCTCACCCTCCTGTGCCTGGGAAGGAGTCTCCGGGCTGCTCTAGGTGCAGTGGTTTTCATTTCCCATCTTCAAGCAATCCTCTTCCACATGTGTATCTCTTGTCGCTACTTTTGTATGAAGGCAAGGGCTACTGCTTCTGAAACTGTCTTGGATAAAAAGATGTGAAGCCAGTAGGGAGATATTTGCCTCATCACAGCTGACAGTTAATTACGCTACAGAAGTTATTAGTGTGCACGTTATGACTTTCACACCAGTTCTATTCATGCATAAGACTTTACTTCAGGAACGAGCAGGACTGATCTCCATATAGATAACAATCAGTGTAATTATCACTGCTTAAATGTGTGGCTCCACCTTCTAAAGCTGATTGCAAACACAGTTTAGTCTGTCAAGATCCTCTATTCTCCAGCTTTATGATTAGAGCATATAAAAGTGGCAGTTTCTCAGTCGATGAGCAGAGCCAAGCTGGGGCCGGGAGAGAGCTGCCAGTGTTTTCATAGAAACAGGCCAGGTCCAAGCACTGGAATTTAATATCTACCGCCACAAGGTACTAGAAATTAGTACTCACTTTCTAGCGAGTTTATCAGCAAATGAAGCGTGCCTAGGATGTCTCTGCCAAAATGTCTGTGACTGTCTAGACACTGGGCTGGCCTCCACCTCAACACATTTATTTTTTGTGGTGAACTGAAGAATGTAATTGAAATGAAACATTTGAATGAAGACTTTTCAGGATAAAGAGGGAGCTGATGGCTGGCTGATACACGCAGGAATACACCTGCCAAGCCCACTGTGCCCAATTCACAAGCTATAGATGTAACTACTAGCATCTGCATAAATAAACAACGGGTAGCAGGCATGAAAACACCATCTTTAGTTCATAATGATTATTGCTTTAAGCTTTGAAACAAAAACATGTGTTTCCCAAACCTGTCCTCATTAACCTGTTCTCCTCCTTCCAGAGATTCGCTGGGAAAAGAAGACAACCACAGCTATGTCAGCAGCTTTGCTTGTGCTGCTTACCTTCTTTGTGACGGTGTCCGGCGGCACGTCCCGCCGCCCCAGCGGGTAGGGGTTCCACTGGCTGCTCACAGACATCTCCTCCTGCCCGTTGTCCAGAATGCTGCTCTGCTGCGACGGGGTCTGTTGCAGAAACGGTAGGGCAGCCTTTAGTCACTGTCACACCATGACAGAAAATTCTCTCTTCATATTTATTTCAGTAATCAACCCAGTTAAACTGCAACACACTATTGCTAAAATGGAAATCCTTTTAAATTTCTATGGTATTTCATTAATGTGTAATCATATTGCTGTGGGACTCTCTGCAAGCAGCAGATCTTGAAAGATATGTAAGAGAAATAATGAGAATAATGAATGATGAGAGAAAAGAGAAAATTAATTTAACATAACTCATTCTTTTCGGAGAAACAAATTTTGGCAAAGTTCCGCATTTAAACATGCAGTCTGTCATTAATCATTTGAGTTAAAACTTTCTTACTGGTCATTCAAGCATCAAAAACTTTTCCATTAAGTATTTGCCACCAAGATAAATTATATGCTTATATTTTCTTCAGAAAATACTCCTTAACGGCAATACTGTCCTTGTGACTACTCTTGCCTTACGCTATGCTCTGTGCATCACTGTGTGTGGTGTGCTTCTCACAGACCTCTCTCTCGGCTGTGGCTGGTTTTGCTCTAAGTTAACAGGCTATCATATGTACAATATTAACCAGCAATTAAATGCTTTCCTGAATACGAATGGACATAACACACATTTAAAGTTTCCTAAATGAGCTTGATACTTTTGTTATTATTTTTCACTTTTCTCTCCTTATATACCTGTTTCTTCTTTGTCACTTTCCCTGGTTATTTTACTCCTGTTTTCAGTACTTTTGAGGACGTGTACTTTTTCTGTCCCATCCTGATTTTCTGTTATCTGTTTCTGTATTTCTTTGCCATAGTTGGAAATTTTGCTAACGTGGGTATGGCTTTTTGTGTCAGACTTTCCAAAATGCTAACATTGTACTACCACTGACAGCACTTAGCATTATGTAGTGCTTATTCAGTTAACTGCTTATTCAGTTAACTGCTTATTCAGTTCTGATTAATGGTAATCTGCAAAGAAAAAAAAAAAAGTCCATTCTTCCCCTCTGTCATTCAAGCAGTTTCTTCTTCAGCTTAGATTTAAAAAAATCATGAAACACTTCTTTAGATGACTGAAGAATAAATGAAACTGTTGCTTTGAAATATTAAAGCTGGTAACTGGTCAATTAAGAACTTTTTTTTATGCAAGCTTAAAAATCCTTTAAAAGTAAATAGAAGTAAATTGCAATTAAAATCATACTCCTCAGAGGTTAAGTAAAAAAATTCAACACTACTTATTTAAAATCAAAGAAAACTTTCATTGTAATGCTCTCATAATTCAAGAAGTCTTCCGGAAAAATCAGGGAAGATGTGATTTTCCTTATATTAAAAACCACCAGAAAAACACTTCCCCTGTTGAAACTACAAGACCTCCTGGTGGAGCTTTCTTTACACAGATGAAAAAAGGAAAAATGAGACCAACCTCAGCACTTTTTCCATAGGTTACCCCTCACAGCTCAACAGACACTGGTCCCAGTGCCTCATGCAGCAGCGCTGCTGCTCTCTCAGACAGCACACCACTCTCGAACATTCGCAAATTTGGGCCCAGAGCTGTACGCTGGCGTACGGACATGCACGAACCCAATGATATGGCTCTACGGCCCTCACACGCAGGTGAAGCTTTGTGTCCGGACAGGCGTCCAGGACTGTGAGCAGCCTGCCTGAAAAGGCTGCCAGGGGTTAGCCCCTGCCCAAGGCTCCCCAGCCCAGGACATGCCGAGCCCTGTTTGTCCGCAGATCAGAATTTGGGGCCCAGTTGGGGCCCAGGTAGGGCTCCTTGTGCCTGTGTAAACCCAGGAATCGGCCATTCTGCCCTGTTTGCTGCATGTCCCCACGTAACCCTCATCCAAACGGGGGGGTACATCATCTGAGACCAGGGCAGTAAACAGCTTCTGAAATGAAAAAGTACAATTGCAAAACTTTCTGCTCTGAGGAGTAGTAAAAAAACAATGAAAAAGAAAGGCCATCATCTTTGTGATGTGAGTCACCCCTTCCAGAGTCACCCACAGACCGAGGTGCCCAAGGCTGTGCTGGAAATCTGCTCACCTCCCTGTGAGATGACTTTATAAAACATGCTAGGTGGCCTCACCATGCGGAGACGGAGGGGATTAGCGAGGCAGCTTCCTAAAGGAACTTCTGTTTTTCCTCCTGTGTGATACATGTGAATATGCTGACTGTTCCTAAAGGAAGGCAGTACTGCACGCTTCTGAGAATGAAGTGCACCAAAACATAAACTTTTAAAAGAACTGCGAGATGGATGCCAAAAATTGAAAGCATTCTTCTGAAAAGTGTTCCTTTTGTCTCTGCAGACAACTCTGTGCCATTTTTATAAGCAAGTGACTAATCTGCAGAGGTGAGTTCGCACTCAAAATGGAAAAAGAAAAAATATAGAGGGTGCTTTCTCAATAAACAGGAAAATTCTGTGATAACAGGTTTTTCTTTTCATTTTCTCCAGTAAAATGAATTTGTCTACTTGCAATACCATTCATTTACAGAGCTTGGACAGACTGCAAACAACCTACATATCTATTAAGTCTAGGTAAAAAATGAAAAGCAACAGTTCAAACATTTTATACGTGGAATAGAATTGATGTAATAAACTTTCTCAAAATAAGTAATTGCTATACTTGATTTCCTGATCTTCCACTGGACAATTAAACCTCACTCATTACTCTCTTGAATCTAGGCCACAAGAAAGAAGAGGAAGAAGAGGTCAATATTAAGCTGCTGTGGCCTCGATTCATTAAGAAATACAAATTCTTAGAACATGTGAAGGAATAAAATTAAACAATACTAAACATTCATAATATTTGTTCAACAATAATTTCTCACTGCTTTCCAAACAGTACAGTAAGAGAATACACCCCCTTCATGCAGTTCAGCATCACATTTTATATGGGTATGCAGCAATGAAATGCTGGTGAAATATAAAGCAGAATAATTCACGTAAGACCACACCCCCAAACATGTCATTCTAAACAGTTTCACAAATTTCCTCAGACATCAACGTACTAGTATCCATATTATCTACAGCCTAAAATTCTTAAAGTGATATATAATACCTTATTCCTAAAGGTGTGTAGAAAAATAGTACCATTATTTGGAGCTGATGTCAAATGGACTTCTTTTAAGGACTTGTGACAAGAATTAGTACATACCCAAGTAGACAAACAAATTCTTTGAAAGAAAAAAACAGTATGACCAACACTGGAAAGCTATCTGTGTCCAAACACACACACATCTACGTTTAAGATTTGACCTAGATGTCATCAGCTGAACAACAGAGAAGCACACACTAACATTAGGACTCGTTTAAATCCAGGGACAGCTGAATGGGGGGTGTAAATGAAGTTAACAGTGTATGGAAAGTAAGTTACAGCAGGAGAAACCTGACAATGACCTGTGTGTGTGTGTGTGTGTGCGCGCGCGCGCGCACTGTTAACCTATCACAGCTTTGCTTTGCTTGGAAATCCAGTGTACGATGCATATGCCTGTATTTGCAAGCTAAGCAGTGCTAAGACCTGTCCTCCGGCCAACCAGCACAATCTGGTCTTGTTGCTGCCATTAAATTATCTTATTCTTCTAAACAGGCTTGGATCTAAACTCTTAAATCGGTCACTGGAACCCTCCTTTGGGAATTTCTGGCCAGTGCTGACTCCGGAGCCCTGGCCAGGGATTGCCCAGGAGGGTGCCAGCTGGCCTGGGCCAAACCATGCCTGAGGCCAGTCCAGCAATTAACAGTGCAGATGATCACATTTCAGCGCCTGGATCTGTGCTCTGTTACCCTTTAATTACTCACAGAGATGTTGCTAATTTGTACCAACAGCTACCGATGCTAATGCAGTAAGACACTTAACGATGCTCGTCACTTCTAGCACTGCAGTAGCCCCCTGTCATTACACGCAATCCCACCAGTGCGACCGCTTTCAAGTATCTGCAACTGGCTGCTGCTGTGACTCCGGTGTGGCCATACGTGACGCAGAGTAAGGTCTCAGCATCTCCTCTCTGATACTCTGAAAATACTTCAGCAATGTCCCTCCCTGGCTTGTCATATGTGCTTTTCCCATCAAACATTTGTTTGTATATAATTTTGTACGTATGTACTTATCAACAATATATCGTTAATAGCTGTAAAATAAACAGTAAAAACTGAGAAAATTATTTTCTTTCTACAGGCATCACTCAACAAAAGTTTAAAATTAGTTTAGGTGTGGTAGGCATGTACTCAAAACTCATCCACTATTACAGCATACCCAATTAATGTTCCAATATTAAAGTCCCTGTCTCTTGGAGCCTATTTAAATGCATATCAAACATTTCTACATTAATTTTTCTAAGATCAGTCACAAACCAAAACACATTCTCCATTTCTGCGCACAGATTAAGTCATTGAGAAAATGATCACATCAGTCTGTAACACGAGAGCAGAAAGCAGTAATGACAGCCATGTGAGCTACTTAATCCAAAAAGCAAGATTATTGAGTAGGAAAACTGTATTTCTATCATCTTTGCTTTTTGGATTGTGTATCGTATAAGCATGAATAATAGGCAAAAGCTAAACCAGGAAAAAGCAAGGAGTATTATTAATTTATTTTGTAATGCTGGTATATGCTGGCTATCCCATACTTACTTTCGGTAGAGGTAGCTCTTGAAGCATTTGGTTTTCAAATTTAGATTTAGTCTGCAAGTTTAAAGTCATGCTTCTGCCGGCATGCATTGCTGAAAAACCTCCAGAGTGCAGCATGCCAAGGCTAACTGTGTTGTGTTTGTAAGCAGCGGTCTGAGTAGAGGAAACAACCACGTGACAGGATATGAACACACATGCTCATTGAATTAAGTATCACACATATATGGTTAATTTCACAAAGTTTTAGTTTAAGCAAACAAACAGTACCAAGAAATAAATAGCTTCTTGATGCATGCACTGGGTCACACGGAAGCAAATACATTGCTAGTTATACATAAAATGGATACCATAAAAGACTTCAACGCTGACAGCAGATGAAATATGTTGTTATCTGTAGTTTGAAAATTGCAGTCTATAACATGGTACAAGTCTTTATTTTGCAAATATGGCCAAATTTTGGTACGTCTACGCAACCACGGATGGGCCAGAAAATGTGTACCTAGCGTAAAAGAGCACCAAAGGCAGAGAAAAAAAAAACCCTACAGAAGAAGGCTCTGCACCATCTTATGAGCTTTGTGACCACTCCCTGGCTAGCAGCTGCCCACAAGGGACAAGCTTTGGCTGGGCCCAGCACAGCAGGTACGCAGGTCCTGCACCGACCGGCATCTCACCGGCCGTGGGCAGACAGGCAGCGTCTTCTGGCGCAGCTGCTGCACTGCAGTGCCCAGGCGTTCTCATCAGCAAAATCTCCCCCGGACAGCCCAGCTTCTTAGAGCTTTGCTTACGGTAAGTTGCAAACAACTCAAAACTAGCTCGCTGGCACCTGCAGGGATTACTATGAACTCAATTTAAGTAGATAAAATCACCAGTGTCAGCTTTCCATGAGTTTAAGTATTTCTTAAGCAAATGTACATTGTAAACTAAGTGTAAAGATATTTCTTAAACAAACAACATCGGGGAAGTGTTTATTTCCACCAGAAACGTCTCTACTTGGGGTGCACTATTTTGCCTAGGTATTAGGTATTTTCCAATCAGTTTAGCACAACACAAGGAAAATAGCTGAAGTAAGGAAAAAGCTTCAGCCTTCAAGCCAGTTTTTAAAGTTTACCCATTTGATCCTTAATGATATTTTAATATGCGTCACATCCAAGCAACTGGAAGGTATTGAATATATTAACACCAAACTCACGAGTGTCTAGTGTAAAATAGGTATATGGAGACATTTTGAAACTAACTGATGCATTTCATGACAGTAATTTTTCACAACCACTTCAGATTATGAAGTAAATTCGATTCATGAAGTAGGTCATTAGTCAAGATCATGATTGAAATCATGCACTATGGTACTTGTACTGTTTTGTATAGAAGGCAAGTAAGCATAACTTCCTACAGCTAAAAGGAGTAATAATCATATTCCTTGTTAAAAACAGTGGCAGTGTATATTCAGAGATATTTTTCAGAGTTAAAAGATACCTTTAAATCCTCTCCACTAACAGTGATATGAAAGCTAAAATACATTATTTTACTTTTTATCTGTGATGTTTTTCTTTGTTGCCTTTTACTGCAAAGATGTATCCAGCATCTTTTAATGCTCTCAAATCATTACTGAAGTGGTGGACTTCAGCAGCACGTTCACATCTGTTGATAGGGAGAGATTTTTATGTTTTTTATTATTTCAGACAGTGCTGCAGCAGTTACTACATTAGTGAAGTGCACCGTGGTGCGTTATTCGTGCAGAGACTCTTTATCACTCTCATTTACCCGGGAACCCCTCACTCCAGCTGCTTTTGAGCCCCCCCCAGACCCCTTTGCGGGTGGGTTCCTCTGACACCAATGCAGGAATTTCATTACTGGGAATTCTGGTGGTTACCACTGTACGTGCAAATAGTTTGACATACCGAAACACACAACTAAAGGCATTAATTGCAGAGAAATGCCAAACATACCCTGTCTAACCTTCTAGCTTCTATATGTCTAAGTAGCTGTTGTCTCCAGTCAGCGGGCATTTTAGCACAGCTCTCATTTCCCTTCACAGGGGTAGGCCTTGTCTTTATATCACTGTTATCGGAAGGCTTGTCGCCATAGTTACCCAAGTTATAGTCTGATGGTATCTTTTCCAGCAGAGCTGCCATTGTAGGCCTCGCTGAAACCGGCCTGGTTTGGGATGTGCCGTAACTCTCTGTACTGTAGCTTCTTGCAGACAACGGCCTCCTTTGTGTAAGGTTTTTAACTGGAAAGCTTCCAGTCTGGGCTTTCACTTCCTGGTAGGAAGGATGCTCGTCTTCGTACCTGCCGTTCCTCTTGAGGAACTGAGACTCAGAGACCGAGATGCTGCTCTGGCGCTCCACAGCTCCTCGGTACGGAGGCCTGCCATACCTGTCGCTCGGGGGCAGCTCGTGGGGCTCACTGACTCTCCTGAACATGGACATCTCGGTGGAACTGGCCAACGAATCCGCTCTCCTCAGGAACCCCGTCCGAGACCCCTGGCTCGCAAAGGGGGCACCAACCGCCTCCTCGTTCACCGACGGCTGGGAGAAGGAGAACATGTGCTCCACGGGGGGGTAGCCGCGGTAAGCCCTCGGGCTGACCAGATCCTGGGGCAGGTTTTTACTCTGCTGGGGAATGTACTCGGGGTTGAGCTGGAAAGGCGGCGGTAGTCTCTTCTCCGCTGTGACCTCCACTGCTCCCTGTGGGTTGAAGCTTTGGTCGAACTGGTAGACTTTCTTCGTGACGGATGACTTCTGCTGCGGCTGCACCTTGACGCTGCCGTAGGTCAGCAGCTCGTCGTCCAGCATGGGGACCGACTGGCTGCGGGACATGCTCAGCATGCCGTGCTCTGGGCCCAGGAGCTTGTCCACCCTCTCGTGGGTTCCTACAGTATCATTACCAGATGCATAGTTTTCTAAAGGTATATTATACACTTTGTATGTACCAATGTCTATCTCATCGATACTTTGTGACTTCTTAAATTTGTTAGTTTTTAAATCCCTCATCATCGGAGAAAGCCGCTCTGTACTCTTGCTGATTGAAACAACGCTTTTGGAAGGATCTGGGCGACAGTGGATATGGGAAAAGACATTTGTGAGACTTCTGTTAGCATTTGAATCATGATATTCCCATGCTATTCCTGGGGTGAAAGTGCTAGTCATTTCAGGAGACTCTTTGACATGATCTTTTCGCTCAGGCAAAGGGCTGGTGGTGGGGGTGCTTTCCAGTTTGGAAGGAAAAGCTGTCCTGTCTTCAAAAGGACTAGGGGTTCGGGTCCAATTTTGCCAAGGATTGGGAGGAGGCACTTCAGATTCGTGTGTGTTTCTGAGCGTCGGCTGCTCCAGCTCCAGGGGAATGCCAACTATCCTGTCTTGTCTAATCAACGGCCTGCGTCCATGTGCAGATGTGCTTCTGGATTTCGTGCTCAGGAGGGGGTTAGCACTAGGATTCTCCACCGTGCTCTCCTCTGCAACAAACCCTGTGTTATCGTAGTGTGAGCTGTCATTCCAGCTGTCGGCGAACGTTTCGCTCAGCGGGCGCCTGTCGGTGCGCTGTGGCAGGTTCCCCACCGGCGCAGATTCCCGTTGGCTCAGCAATGGCTTTGTTTCAAGGGGCTGTGGAAATGACTGTGCCAACCTGCAAAACCAAACCAAAACGGAACAAGATAAAGTGCCCTCTATTAGAGCACAAAAGCAGTCATCAGAAAGACACAATTATAAAGCAATTTAATATTCTCCCATCTATACTCTGCCTTGGGGATTGTACTACGAGATGTCCACTTTGTGCCACTGGTTTGGCATGAATGGCTGCAGCAGTTTTTTGCACTGGAGTACAGATTCTGTAAGTACGTACACAGAGAAACTGAGAAGTCAGTCAAAAGTCCACGGTGGCTCAATGTCATGTTCATATAAATCCAGCTGAACATATTTTCCTGCTTTAAAAATAATATTTTATGAGTGCAAGGGAAGCTTCTTTACAGTTACATTGGGTTTTTTTTAAACAAAAATACCAGATTCAGTTTGTGCGTGTTCTCGCCACCAAGATTTTATGCATCTCCAGTGAGCAGGCTCCAGCTTCTTTTTAATGGGGACGAGCCTGTGGATGGAACTACTTTAGGTGACTTATGGCAGGAATAGACAGGGCAAGGTGTTCCTGGTATGGCGCGAGAGTGTTTTCAGGTTGCTGATGGCTAACGTGAATTACAACTTCCAAAAGTAACTGTGTTGCTCTTGGAGGTCCAGGGCAGAGTGAGGCTCAGGACAGCAATAATATGAGAGACATAACACTCTGCTATCTATGCTAAACTACAGGCAGCTGGAGCTCAGGGCCATGCAGAGCAGAATTATTGCAGCTCAATTACTAGGCGCTTTTAATGCATGGTTATAGCACATAGCTGAAAAAACAGCTGTAGAATTACAGACATTTATAGAGTATGAATGGGTGGCCAACTTTGCACAGCCTGGGCTTTGAATAGCTATGTACACCTCTGCAAAACTGGAGTAAAAATGTTGTATTTTTTTAATTGAATGCCTTAACAGATAGCATACGATCACTTTGAATGCATATGACAACATAAACCAAAAGGCAACCAGAAGCTATGTTAAGAAAGATGATCACACCTGTTCCCCCACAAAGAGTTATTCACTGCTTCTTTAGCCGTTGTCTGCAAGGACCCCATTTTAACATGCGCGTTGGAGGACCCTGAGGAAGCCTGGGAAGGGGAATAGTCTGAGTAAGTGCCTGAGGAAACGCTGTTATTCAGACAATGGATCTTATCTGCTTCAGACTCATCTGTCGATTCTGAAAACAAAACACAGCAAATGTTTTCAGGACGTGGTATTTGAAAACTAAACTCCAGAAAAATACATTTTTAAATTGATACTATGGATATATATACATGTGCACAAATATGCATGTAATATGTTTCAAAATCAGACTGAAGTGTAGAACATCTTAAGTAATGTGTCTATCTGTGTACATTACATATGCTTTCATCTAAAAGGTTGTAAGTCAAGTTAGTACCTTTCTTGTCTTTACCCAGAAGAACAAGTTTGGGTGGGTACAACGGAGTCTCTGGCATGGAAGGACGAAGTTCCCCTATCCTCATCTCACTGGCAGGATGTCCAAAGGCATCCTGAGGAATATAATAATGTAGAGTAAACATAGGAAACAGAATCCACTTCAAACTGCAATGAACAAACATTTCACCGCCTTCTTTCCATGAATGTGACAACACACCAAAACCCCACCATACGGTAGCGTGTTTAATCATGCTGATTTGTCAACTAAAAATTCTAATTAGTCCTACATTATAAAAATTATGTTGATGTGTTCATTCTGAAAATGTGGACAAAACAGATGGAACTTGCACGATACATCAAGGCCACGTAAACATTTTTGATGAAGGTCACAAAAATGCAAGCTACCAGTAGAAATAAATAAAAATGTAGAATAAACAATTACTTCTTATTTCAGGAGTAAGTATTCCTCATTCATTTATTCATGGCACTAGTCCTTTGACAGATTCAACTGTCCATATAGCTATATTTAATTAATATGACTTTGTCTCTAAAGAATTTTTTGCTAAATTAAAATGATTCAGATTTCATAAACTTCTCATTGAGAGTTCAGCAAATCTTGACCTTCAAAGACTGCCCTGCAAAACTGTTTTGCTGTTCTAGCCGGCAACAGAACATATACTGAAAATAACACGAGTTAGAAAGTGGAAAGAAAGTGAGATGTAGACTTAGAAAGAGCTATTTTAAATTAGGGCATTTAAATTAGGCTCATAGGATAGTTAGAAGGGAATGAAGCCACAAACGGAATCCATGGCATTTCACATCCCTGGAAGAAATTCAGAAACGAGAAAGATGCTGACCTGAAGATAGGAGTCTTGGGGAGATAGGGTAGGGGATGACACTTACTGGAGGAATGATACTGGTAACCCTGCCCTCAGGAGGGGACTTAAGGAAAGGGAGCTGGAAGAAAGAGCACTATGGGAAAGCCACTTTGTGGGTGTTGTTGCACAGGCTCAGGGAAATGTAATGGAAAGGGAACTGGGGGAGATGGGCATGGCAACACTGGAAAGTTGTGCTAAGGCCAGTCAAGATCCTTGTGGGGAGGGGTACAGAAACACACATCATCTCAGAAGTGAGAGGATGAGCTGTGATTTCATAAAGAGGATGGAAACTGGAGAAGGAGAGTATCTAGTAAAAAAGAGGAAGCTTTGGAGAGGTATTAAGAGAAAATCAATAATTAGTAGTATAAATGAGGAAGGAAATGGTTAGGAGAAATATATTGATGAGGGAACTTACACTAATGGAGACACTATGAGGATCTGTGTACCCTGACATTTTGTTGTTAAAGGTACTCCAGTGATTTTGCAGAGTGAAGTCAATAAAGGAAAGAGACGTAATATTTAGAGAAACTATTTAAAATGGGAGTACCAAAACCAAAACCACATTCTTAAAATGTAAAATGCTACAATATTTTTAAAATTTACTTGCTTTTACTTGTAAGGACAAAATTTTCAGAGGTTTACTCTCCATTAACTACTTTTTGTACTAACAGTGGAAACAGACATTTGTAGAAGCATTTGCCATGTGATTTATCCTTGAAGAATATATTTGTACAACAGATATTATAACCCTTCTGCATTTGGTGTTCTACAGGAGGTAGTACCATACCAGAACAGCAAAGAACAGGTATCTTCAAAACCCCTTTAATTAACCCCCTCGGCACTAACATTTAAGCAAATATAGCTACATACTGATTCTTACATGGTGTAATGTATTCAAGACTTTAAACTACTTTCACATGCAGACATCCCTTGTCGTTTATGGTAGTTCTCACATAGCAGTAGTGATGTACATACAACTTGAAGCTAACAATAGTGCAACAGCATTTTTCCAGTGCAGCACAATCATCTTCTAGTGCAGTGTAACAAACTTATGCAAAACAATTTTTTGAGAAATCAAAAAGTGCATAGCATTCACAGAGTGTGAAATTCTCCACCTTTGAAGCATGGTGCATGTTAAGTTTCTTCTTGTACCTCTGAGCTTTTTGTATGCTCCTCTTTCTCCTTCCTGTCTGGGATTTCCAGAGCTGATTTCTGAGTGTTGTCTGTATCAGACAGGTGACTCTTTTGGAATTCTTTATTTTCTCTATCTTGAACCTAGAATCCCAATATTGTGCCATGAAACTTCCAAAATTTATACGCTTAAAATAAAACTACTTGCTGTGAGATAGGAAGAACCAGCAGTTCCATTTTTGACAGAATGATGAACACAGGTTTTTGTCAGGTGCATGTTACATGAAGTTTTCTATGTTATATTCTTTTTTTCTTTTTAGCCCCTAGTCCAGCTATTCCAACAAAAATCAATACACTTTTGAAAGAGCTAGTCTGGCATTTGTGAATATGCCATGAGAGTGAAATATATTGTAAAAAACCGAAGTTATATTCCATTTAATTCTACTCTGTTTAATAGGTCCTTTTTTCTTACAAGCCCAAGAACAAAAAGGTAACTGATAGGAAAAAAAAAAGTATTATTAATAGGACCAATTGCAAGAACAAAGGGAAGAGATAAATGCAATTGTGTTGTGTCAGAACTTATTCCTCAGGACTAACCAGAGAAAGATATAGGTAGAGGACAGACGAATATGGTGAGCTGTTTCCCAAGAGAAAATACATGGTAAAACCCATTAAAATAAGTGGGAAAGAAAAATATCACCAATTATTCATGCTGACAACATAAGAACATTAAATTATAATCTGGAGGGAGAGAATTTTTAAAATAACCTAACTCCTAGAGTCTGCTTGCAAAGAATGTAAAACCTCCGAATAGAGCAGACCGGGACTCTGGGCAGACACAGCACACACAAGGCAGAGGAATGCGTGACCATCAATGATAGATCTATTCCAGAGGAACAACTATGTATATGTAGAGGGTTGGCAGCACTTCTAAGCTGGAGAAGGCTAGGTCAATCTGAAGAATGACAAACTGGCTATAAAGAACTGGAGAAGCATAGAAATAAAGGGATTAAGGCAAATGTTACTCAGCCCAGATTTTACTAAAACTTTAATGAAAAAAAAAAGATCACAGAAAGTCTAGGAACAAATGCAACCAGATAGCTATCAGAATATCCCTAGATACAAACAAGACTACCTGAGGCATAGGCTTCTTTCCTGAGAACCATAGTTAGTGGTGCAGTTTTGTAACAAAGCCTCACTGAGCCACCTATCCACATTACAGTCTCTGCACAGAAAATGGCAGTACTTCCACCTCTCAGCCCTGTATGTCGATAGTTTCAAAGTCCCACTAAATAGTCTTCTCCAGACAAAAATCACAAAACAAATTCTATCTGAAGCTCAGCATGTAAAAGGCAGTCACAGCTCTGAATATTTTGCTGTCTAAGCTAGCAATTAGCAGACTATTCTAAACAAAATTCAGCCACCAATCCAGGAATGCACTAAGAGTCACCCCAAAACATGGGATTATTCCAGAAGAAAGCAGGGTGGAGGATCTTTCTAAATCTCTCTCACTCTTCTGGCTGCAGTGGTAGCTTCCAGAAAGGCCAGTTTCAGTAGCCATTAGATCTGAATGTTGTCTGAAACAGGATGTTAATACAAGATATAACTGAACCAGTGGAAGGAAAACTTCTGAATGCAGATATGGAATCTGAAAATGGGAGAATGAAGGAAAGTCAATACAATTCCTACCTGCAGAAGTGATACAGCAGCCAGCACAACGTTACGGCACTAATGAAATGAGCTCTCACCTTTTCAGTTCCAGCAGGCAATCTCAGACATATGATAGAGCTTTAAAAGCAGACATAAGTACATGAGGAACAGCGTGGGGCAGAGGTAGTTTTTGGGACTCCACCTGGAAAGACGTAGTAGATCCTGGAATAAAGTTGTCGTCTGCAGGTAGGGCATAATGATTGTTTCTGCCTTGTGTCTCTTTGCCTTGCAGTCCAGTGGACGGGCAAGCAGTTGAAGGAATGCACACATTAACCTTGCCTATTCAGGGGCTCAGAAACACAGCCAAGGGGATGCATCCAAGAACTGACCAGAACTACCTATCACCAAAGAAATCAAAGTTACAGATCCCCAGTCTACAAAGATGTATTTTAGAATGAAAATTTCCATTTCGAGTAGATTAATCTCATATGGTTAAGCCTGTTAGCTGACATGGTCAGGATTCTGCAAAGATAAACTGCAGATCCTTATCCAACCAGTCATCAGTCATGTACTGCAGAGGCTGGGAGACCTTCTAACATCATCCTCAGTTATAAACCATGGAGAGGCTCTTGTCCAGCTCTGTACATGGTCTTCCACGCGAGGACAGAAGTCTCAGTACTGCCCTGAGTTACGACACCCTGATACGTGAATTGCACTCTCTGTGCTCTCCCACCTCTGGAGGAAACAAGCTTCTGTTGCTCTCTATCTAGATGGATATGCACCCAATTGCATACATCTCACCAAGGTTGCTGCCAACAGAGAGTGTCTCAGGCCTTTTTCAAAAAAGTTCCTTCATGGTCCATCAAACATAAACCAGGCTTACATGCCCCGTGTATATGAGATTGTACAGAGTGCCATGTCCAGACATGTAATACTGCACCTCCTGAGTCCTCATGCAGGTGGGGACAGACAGAGCAGTAGCCTCCAAGGGTCAAGCCACATCCAGGGCAGATATTATGGAAGGTAGGTTTTATCTTGGAGGCAGCCCTGAATAATGCCCCTCCAATCCAGACACTTAGATAAGGTCAGGCAGAAGTCAAAGTAACTCAAAATGAACTTTAAGACATTTGACATCCTATCTGAAGAAAGGTCTCTTGTGAGTCAGACCTCCAGATGAGTAAATCATTACCTCCTTTCTCCTTTGACAAGAAGGTACCAAGGTCAATACCTCAGTAAAGATCTTCTGTGCCATGGAGAAACCAAAAACTCTTTAATGAAGATATTTCTGACTCCTGGTAAAATATAGGTAATTCTGTTGCAAAGAGCTTATCAAGGTATGGGCTTGAAGCAGATACAAACCAAAGATCTTTACCATATATTCCTCTCCCAATCAGGAGACTATCATTGTGCATCTCATTAGTGGAAAAAAGCTCCTACAACAGACACGTCAACTGAATCAATTGAAGCCAGGCATCCTGGGGGACATAAAAGTGTGTAAGTTTTCCTGGAAAGGCAAGATGATCTTTTAAGACAGTCTCTGAAACTTGCATGAAAAACGAAACAAAAAGAACACTCTTCTCTACCCCCCCAACTCCGCCCCCCCCCCCCCCCACACCC